AGAGACACTCCTCACACACAGAGATTAATACAGACCCTAATACAGATCCTAGAGACACACCTCACACACAGAGATTAATACAGACCCTAATATAGACCCCAGAGACACTCCTCACACACAGAGGTGAATACAGACCATATTATAGACCCCAGAGACACTCCTCCCTCTCACCAGTGAAGCTGTGTAGGTGGGGATGTTCTTCTCCTGGTTCCTCATCAGCCTGGAGAGCCCAAAGTCAGAGATCTTGCACACGAGGTTGGCGTTGACCAGGATGTTGCGGGCCGCCAGGTCACGGTGGACAAAGTTCTTCTCGGACAAGTACCGCATCCCCGCGGCGATGCCTCTCAACATCCCGACCAGCTGGAGCACGCTGAACTGTCCCTCGTTCTCCTGCAGGAGCGAGGGAGTGAGAGGGAGCAGACATTCATACAGCAAGCACACCGCACCCGGTCTGACAAGGGCAGAGCCAACCAAGCGGATTTCCTCTGACAGTCTGCACACTGAGATTAGGAACAAGTAACAGGTTTATTCCCTGCTGAAAAAAAGAAGAGAAAACACAACGTTTCGGCCGTGGAGCCTTCATCAGGTGTGATCATGCTGAGATTGGGTCAGATGTGAGACGTTTAACCATTTAATCGGCGTGTTCACCCCAGGAGTCTAAAGAGCTATGCTGTGGCCATTAACACACAGAGATGCTTTTGTGATTATGGTAGCGCTCGTTAGCCTTGCTGCCCTGCAGTGTTGAGGCCCTGGATTCAACTCCAGACCTGAGGTGCTGTCTGTGGGAGGTTTGTATCTTCTCCCTCTGCTCACTCGGGTCTCCTCCTACAGTCCAAAGACATGCTGGCAGGTCTTCTTTGGCTTCAACTGGGGAGACTGGGGAAACTGGCCCTGGTGTCCGTGTGTGTTTGTGTCTGGGTGTGTCCTGGGACGAAATGGCATCCTGTTCCTGCCTCGTGCCCATTGCTTGTCAGGACTGGCTCTGCCCCCGGGACTCTGAACTGGATAAAGTGGTTAGGAGATGGATGGATGGTACTCCTGTCTCCAGTGTGCACTGAGGAAATCTGGTCTAATTCGGTCCTCTGTCAGTCACAGGGATAGGGGCTTGATATCAGCCTAGTTTCACAGTGACCAGTATTATAAGATTGACAAAGTGGGAAAGAGCACCCCCTCACACTGCACAAGCCCAGCAGGTGACCTGCAGCTCCCAGGAGCACACACCCTGAGGAAGCTGTCGAGCTGTCCGTTGTCCATGTACTCGGTGACGATCCTCTCCGGGCCGCCGCGGGTGACCACGCCTTCCAGCCGCAGGACGTTGGGGTGATCGAACTGGCCCATCACGCCCGCCTCCGCCAGGAAGGCCCGCCTCGCCACCTCCGACACGCCCGGCCGCAGGGTCCGTACGCACACCGCCACTTCCCCCCGGCCCCCCGACCGGTACCGGCCCCGCTGCACCTCCCCGAACTGACCTGACGCAGGGAGAGAGCGGGAACAAGAGAGGAGAGAGAAGCACAGGTCAGTGTGTCTGCAGCAGGGCTGTCCAGTCCTGGTCCTGGAGGGGTCAGTG